AGCATCAGGTTCTGTCTGGGTTCTGCAGCTTTTAGCATCAGGTTCTTTCTGGGTTCTGCAGCTTTTAGCATCAGGTTCTGTCTGGGTTCTGCAGCTTTTAGCAGCAGGTTCTGTCTGGGTTCTGCAGCTTTCAGAGCAGGTTCTGTCTGGGTTCTGCAGCTTTTAGCAGCAGGTTCTGTCTGGGTTCTCCAGCTTTCAGCATCAGGTTCTGTCCGGGTTCTGCAGCTTTTAGCATCAGGTTCTGTCCGGGTTCTGCAGCTTTCAGAGCAGGTTCTGTCTGGGTTCTGCAGCTTGCTCCAAACACTTCTCATTACCTTCCTCTGCAACATCAGACCTTTCTGCATGAATATCTTGATAAGTCAGATCTAAATCTTTTATTTAAACCTATTGAACAACCAGATATCATACGGGTCCTACTTCCTGAGCTGAGAACAGGTCATAACCAGCTTTTCCAACAAGGCAAGGCAGAGCCTATTTATAGTGTCCTTTCACCAACAGACTCATTTATATTGCAAAGCTCACTGTGTGAAAGAAACGTAGAGAATAATTGTATTGTTTTTTATTGCCTCTTCATGTCATTAATTTCACTCAAGGTAAAGCTCTACATATGAAGGAGCAATTGTCCCATTTAGCAGTTTTCACAAACCCAAGGTGAGTCCTTCCTGCATGTGTGACAGGTATACTTTGTGCAGTGAACACAGCGCTCAGTGCTGTGGTTCCTGTTGCAGAGATTGCACACCTGGCCTGCTTATAATAACAATGAAAAAAATCTTTTAAAAAACAGAGTTTAGCAAATATTCCAAAAGTAAGAGTTGTAGTCTGATCAAGATGAGGTTATCTATTTATCTTACAAGTTTGGAGGCACTACAGTGATCTATACTGTTGTCGCTGCTCATTTTATACGTATTCTAATAATAAAATAGAGATGCCATTTGTCATTTAGGCTTTGAGAAATTCCTCAAAAAAGTATTATTTTCGAATCCAATAATTGTGGTAGGAAAGAAATGAGAGTAGATGCACATGAAATTAATTTGATATTAATCCACTTCTCCTATGTGACGCTTTTGAATATTTCTCTCTGTCTGCAACTTGCAGACGGTCCCTAAGCATTAGTGGAGCAGCGAGCTCTTTATAGGGTCCAATCTAATTCTCCCAGCGCGATAGCAGACTGGTTTTGAGAAAACTAGTGTTGCAGCTCACTGTCTGCCTTGCTGTGGTTGCACAGAGGTGTCTGTTTTGTAGAAAAAAATAATCCGCAGACAAGTTATTAATCCGGAAAAGCCGAATATGTGCATATATTGCCAACTTTACTGCAGAGTCACGATGCTGTCTGCATGTCTGCAGCAGAGGAGAGAGAGGAGAGATTGCTTGAGTTATATTTGCCCCCTAGTAAATAGGGCAGATGGTCATTATTGTATAAATATTGTTGCTTTCTACAGCGTTTCAGCTCATGCAGCTACTTTTATTATACAGATCACTGATCGCTGCGCTGGTGGCTGCGCTGAAACCATTGTGGTGTTGGCGACACTGATAACGTAGAGCTAGTTATATTTGATTACAAATATGACACCCCCCCCACACACACACACACACACACACACACACACAGACACACACGCACACACACACTCAGGTAAAACACCAACAGAGAGGCTTGAGCTAAAACCAAACAACAGCACTAATGGGGCATTTACATCTGAAAACGGATTCATGAGTTGGGAAGAACTGTTGGGGGCACTGGAGACTTTCTAGTGTTAAATTGTCCAATAAAACGAGAAATAAAATTTCTTCTACCTTTCCAAAAGCAGATTTGTCTTTGAATCAGTCTCTGGGAGGGGACCTTCATTTAAAGGGCCACAGAACCCCGGAGTGAAACATGAATTTAAATCAACAAAGAATGGATGTTAGCAGCAGGTTGATCATCTCTGAGGAGAGTTCTGAGGACAGAGGAAGTGATGTCACTTTGAGACAGGTGGGAGAGGGACAACAGAAGCTGATGTTATCACTAATCGCTCGGCCCCGATTCTCTGAGGTCCGCTCTACTGTTTGTTACGACTTGCCCTAAATGCAGGATCTTGGATCCAAAAGTGGTTCCCAGAGAACCGACATCTGCTCGGATGTGTCATGGAGAATTGGTGGCAGATGTTCCACATGAGGACTATGGCGGACTTTTTAGTTTTTTTATCTGTTGTATGTGAGACTCTTCTGTTTTTGTTTCCTGGTGCCATCTTGAGCCGGTCCGCTTGTGCCCCTCAGGATTCTTGTCCAACAGCGTTACCGAAGCTATATGATCTATATATGGAAGCTCTAGATGTCTCCCTGGTCTAGGGTGGGATCAGTAGAACCTGATGTTTGATGCATGAAGCTGTCCGTGGTTCTGAATCTGACCCGAAGGCAGCACTATGGTTCTCATTTTGAATCTAACCTGCAGGCAGCGCATCAGGTCCATGTTCTACCACGCTTATGACAGCTACCTCAGCAACGCCTTCCCCTATGATGAGCTCCGCCCACTCACCTGTGATGGACAGGACACCTGGGGCAGGTGAGGCTGCGCCCAGACAACTTTGATTTGGATGTAACGAACCACTTCAGCTGTCAGCTTTAGCTTTGGATAGACATTTTTTCTGTGATTTTAAAGTTGGAAATAAATGGTTCTGTTTTCTATTGCTATAGCTTCTCTCTGACTCTGATCGACGCCCTCGACACGTTATTGGTGAGAACCTGGGCCTGTTTTCACATCTTTGAAGGTCCACCAGCTGATCGGTTCAGGAACCATAACTTGTTTTCCTCCTCATGAAGGTACTAGGAAACCGGACAGAGTTTCAACGTGTGGCGTCCCTTCTCCAGGACACCGTAGACTTCGACATCGACGTCAATGCATCCGTGTTTGAAACCAATATCAGAGGTGAATCCTAAGACTGTCCGTCTGGTTCTGATGGGGGTTTCCGAGTTCAACGGCTGGACCTTCTGTTTGCTCAGTTGTGGGCGGTCTGCTGTCTGCTCACCTGCTGGCGAGTCGGGCCGGGATGGAGCTGGAGCCCGGATGGCCATGTTCTGGACCGCTGCTGAGGATGGCCGAGGACGCAGCCAGGAAGCTGTTGCCGGGTAGGAATATCCAAACGAGCTTCCGGTTTCCTTAAGTGAATAATGCCTCTTGGTTTAGAAAGCAAAATGGGTCAGAGCAGTTCTGATTATTCGATTAGGAATGGTTTTCTGCAGCGTGTCTGACACATGTTGGTCCAGCTCAGTTCAAGCTGAGAGCTCTGAATGTGATTTTGAGAAACCTAATTGATACTGGACTCTACCAACCAGGTGAAGTTTATGGAACATGGACTGGTACTGGGACTGGGAGTCTCCCCCTACTGCCAGTTTGAGTTCGATTGACAGGCAGCTCTGGTTCCAGATCCCCAGACTGTTATGGAACCGAACTCCAGCCAAGGTTATGGTTTTGGTAAGCTGACCCAGAAGGTTCTTTCTCTGCAGCTCACAGCTCCAGGGTCAAAAGTTCTAGTGGGTTCTTTTTCTGTTCAAACATCAGATGAATTCAGCCATCCATCTAAATATCTCTGTTTGGTTCAGCACCACCTGGGGATTCTGTTCTTGACCAGTCCAGATGTAACCACAAAAAAGCTGTGGATGAACCACTGTTGTTTTGATAATATCTGATAACTGGGCCAGAGCCGGTCCTCCAGTTTCCGGTCAGATCATCTTTTTCTCAAAAAGCCCTCCATTAGTTCATGCGTTTCATGTTGAGGTTTACCTGAAACTTTACAGAACCAGGCAACCTCAGTGGGTCTAGAGTTGGTTAGACTGGCAGTGGAACTGATTAGAGGTTCTGCTTCTGCTTGATGTCCTGAAGTTGACCTGTTTTATCGTCCACAGCCTTTGAGACGCCTACAGGGATGCCCTACGGTACTGTGAACCTGATGAACGGCGTCAGTCCCACTGAGACACCGGTCACCTGTACCGCTGGTGTTGGAACCTTCATCTTGGAGTTTGCCACACTGACCCGACTAACTGGAGACCCAGTCTTTGAGAATGCTGCTCGCCGGGCCTTGAATGCTCTTTGGAGCACCAGATCTGACATTGGACTGGTAAGTCAGACCCAATCACCCTGCTCCAGAGCAGGGTGATTGGGTCCAGAGCATATCTTGACCTTTTCAAAGAGCTCTAAATCCGCCTTTCTTCAGCCTCACTGAAAGTTTAAGGGTTAAGTCCAAAAGAACCGACCCTAAAGACGTCTTCGGAAGACTAGAGTTAGCAGCATCTAAAGACCTGGAGGTTGAGTTGGGGTGTTTGGACTGAGCAGAACTTTTGACAGAGCTGTTTCTTGACTTGTTCAGGTGGGGAATCACATCGACATTGTGACCAGGAAGTGGGTGGCCCAGGATGCCGGGATCGGTGCCGGAGTTGATTCTTATTTTGAGTATCTGGTGAAAGGAGCTATCTTGCTGCAGGACAAGGAACTTCTCAGCATGTACCATAGTAAAGTTCTAGATACTGCCACCACACTGAGGTTCTGCCAGAAACCTCAGAATCATCAGATGTTTGAGCCTAAAACATTGAATGCTGTGTAATCAGCCAGGTATTATTGCTGTCCCCTCAGCGTACAACAGAGCCATTCAGAACTACACCCGCTTCGATGACTGGTACCTGTGGGTCCAGATGCACAAAGGAACCGTTACAATGCCAGTGTTCCAGAGCCTTGAGGCATTCTGGCCCGGCCTGCAGGTAGATCACCAGTAACTCTGAGGTCCGACCCATGCAGCTGAGGGTTGATGTGCCTGTCTATGTTTCAGTCTCTATTGGGTGATCTGGACAGTGCTGTGAGAACCTTCCAAAACTATTACTCTGTGTGGAGACAGTTTGGAGGACTGCCAGAGTTCTACAGCATCACCCAGGGTTACACTGTTGACAAGAGGGAAGGGTACCCACTGAGACCAGGTGAGACTGCACTGCGACCCACATGTAGCTGCTTCCTACACTGGAAAAACGATATAGAAATAAGTAAAAATTTCTCAAATTAAGGACATTTACCCTTAATGTGAGTAGGTAAATAAAATGATTTTCCATTGGAATGATTATTTTACTCATAAAATAAGATATTTAGATAGAATGCACTTGAAATAAGAAAACGCAATTGCCTTTTGTTATTTTAAATGTCAATTGTCTTGTTCCATTGGCAAAATGTCTCCTTTAACTTCTCAATTCAAGAGCAAAGGCATCTTTTGATGTTTTCCAGTGTTGTTGCATTAGTCTCCAGGCACCTTATTTGGCTCTTTTAACATTTTTTGCTTAGTGATTCTGGGAAGAATCCACTTTCATGACCTGGACAGAACCCTTTTGTTCTTATTTCCTGACACAGCAGTTGGTTTGTATTTTCTGGCAGGGTTCTCACCAGGTGTTCCTGTGAGCATGTCCTCTCTTCTGTTGGGGCTGAAGCATGTTCAGCCTCCTGTGAGCCAATGACACCCTTAACAATGTGATTCATATCTTCACATTGCTCACCCTCATGTCTGCAAATAAGAACATAAATGTTTAAAAACACAGCTTCCGTTTCCTTTACGCTCATTAAAAGTAAGGGTATCACTGAATCGTAATTCTAAAAGCCTCAACCAGCATCAGGGTGAATTCTTTCTTTCTTTCTTTGACGTCAGTCAGGGACTGGTAAACCCATAAAAACGGAGGATATGGACCCGATTTTCGGCATAATGCTGGGTTTTTGGAGCGTGACGGACTACTACTCTGAAATACGCTAGAGAAACCCCTTGTCAGGCATTTGAACCTTGTTTCTACTGATATTTGAACCTAGAGATGAGGATTGCATGCACAAGAGTGTGATGACCTCCAAAATCCTGTCAACCCAGGGTGCAGACCAGGAAGCAGAGTCGTAGTTTAGCACATCTCTCTGCAGCTTCTTTACTGTTACCCACCCTTTACTCCATCCAGAGAGTGTCTCTATACAACCAAAATCAAATAAATTAGAAAAGAATCCTGAAGGAGTAAATCATGGTGATCTAATTGATAGAAAAATAACTCCAATGTCCTTACAGAAATCTGGCTGCAGCAAGAGGATATTTGAGCATAAATAAGTCAACTCTTTCAAGCTATTTAAATTTTCACATCCCCTAAAGTTGTGGACGAAGAGAAGTAGCAACAATCTTCCAGTCTGACTGACTGATTACTCCAAATGCAGTTAATAATTACAACTCTTTGAACATTTACCCCTTAGTCTTCCTCGTCCAAATTTCAAAGCAAGAAAACCTCTTCTTTTTGTAACTTTGTATCGTCCACCAGGTCCTTACTCTGAATGTTTAGATGAGTTTTCAGAGTTCCTTTCTGATTTGGTATAAAATACTGACAGGGTCATCATAGTGGGAGCTTTTAACATCCATGCTGACATTGAAGGCAATAGCTTAAGAGCAGCCTTTAATGCTATCTTAGACACTATTGGCTTTGTTCAAAATGTGAATAGTCCCACACATTCTCATCTTCATACTTTGGATCTTGTGCTGACATACGGCATAGAATGTGAAGAAATAACAGTATTTCCTCACAACCCTGTCCTCTCTGACCACTTTCTAATAACCTTTAGGATTACTTTAACAGAGTTCTCCTCCCCCAAAAGAAGGTTACACTTTAGCAGATCATTATCAGATAGTTGAATCTGATTCACTTTCTTCTCCGTGTTGCTGAACAGTGCTGCAGAGTACAAAAGCTTAGTTTATTCCCCTTGTAGGTTGATGATTATGTTGATGGGGTTGCTAGTTCTCTGCGTACTTCCTTAGAAAACGCAGCTCCTTTGAAAAAGAAAAACTTTAAAAATAAAAAACTGGCTCCTTGGTTTAGAGCTTTGCACTCTGAAGCAAAATGCTATGAAACTGGAGAGAAAATGTCGCTCTACATGCTTATGGGAATTCAACCTAGAAGTGATGTATCGTAAAGCAGTAGCAGCATATCATCTCCTCATTGGGGTTAGATCCAGTTCCAACCAGGTTATTTACTGTATGGAGGTATTCCCTTTGATCTCCTCCTCCATTTTAGATGTGATTAATCTATCTCTGTTACAGGGATATGTACCAAAGGCTTTTAAGGTTGCTGGAATTAAACATTTGCTTAAAAAAACGTCTGTTGACCCAGATGACTTGGTAAATTATAGACCCATATCCAATCTTCCTTTCTAATTTATAATCCAGAGAAAAAAGTTGCCAAAAAAGTATGATCATTTACAAGCTAATGAACTTTTTGAAGACTTTCAGTCTGGCTTTAGAGCTCATCATGGCACTGAAACAGCTCTGGTGAAAGTCACTAAATATACAGTGGGTGAAATAAGTATAACATGCCACCATTTTTCTCAGTAAATATATTTCTAGTGGTGCTATTGAAATTTTCACCAGATGTCAGTAACAATTCATGCAATCCACACATATAGCAAAATCGAACCATAGATGTTCAGGAATTAAGTTATGTATACTAAAGCGAAATGGCACAGGGGGAAAAAAGTGTTGAACATCAGGCAGTGTGTCTATTCTGGGTTCTGTCTGTTCTATCCTAGGTCCTTCAGAATATATCCTTCAGGACCTGCCTTTAACCAGCAAGACTTCTGATTTTTAATATCTTCTTAAGGTTTTGTTCCAGAATCTGTGATACTCGATTCTGCTGATTCTCCAGAATTTAATCCTTTCAAACTTTCAACCTCTAATCTCTATGAGAAACTTAACATCGAGATCAAACTTTGAGATTGTTGAACATTTCTGATTTTTCCTATTCTGTGATGGATTTAAAATCCTCCTCCTCCATCTGTTTCAGAGCTAATAGAGAGCGCCATGTACCTGTTCAGAGCCACAGGGGACCACACCTACCTGCAGTTTGGCCTTGATGCCCTGGAGTCCATCGAGCAGATTGCCAAGACGCCCTGCGGCTACGCCAGCGTGAGTCAGGAAGTCACATGGCATCCCGTTAGTCTTTTGTGTGTAGAAATAATGGAGTTTTTCATCTATGTTGAGGCAGCCGCCCACAGAATGACAGAGAAGTCAAACGTGCAGCAGCTCTGAGCCCCCCAGTTAGAAGCATCAGGGCTCACTGGGAAAGAGCTTTACCGTCATGTAGTGGGGATAAATCTTTGAAAATTAGCAGAAACAACAGTAAACATCCAAAAAAAAACATGGTGATCTGCTGCCTGTTCTGCTCTGGATTCTCTCCATGGTTCTGGTTGGTTGAAGGTCATGATCTTCTCCAGAAACCCCCTCAATCCACAGGTGGAGATGTGGATTTGTTCTTTCCATCCACTGAAGCTATTGAGTCCAACCCTAACAATTGGGGGAGGCCTAGTGGTTAAGGCATAGAGCTTGGAATCCTGAGGTTCGGAGTTCAGGTCCAAGTCCCACAGACTGCCACTCTGGGTCTCTGAGCAAGACCCTTAACCTCATACTGCTCACTGGGTGCCCCACAATGGCAGCCCACTGCTCCCCAAGGGGATGGGTTAAATGCAGAGAGTGAATTTCATTTCTCTGTGTTGTTACAGTGTAATGAAAAATAAAAAAGCTGGAATTCACTGTGAAGGTTGGACTCACCTGGTTTAGTGGCTGGACAGAGCGAATCCGTGGCTCCACATCTCCACCTCCTCATCTCTAGCTCCAAATCCAGGCTTCATCATTTTTTGCATCTTTCTTTTAATGAGATAAAGTATTTTAACATCTTAAATCCTAACTGGTCGCCAGCACACAATATTCTATATTTACATCAAACACAGCAGTACGCTTGAACACACATGTAATGTTTGGCTCTAGCCAATGAAATGACCTTTAAAACAAGGCTAAACATGGTGAGTTTCAATAATGCAGCCCAGATATTTAGCCGGACGTAAAAGGCAGAGACTGATCCGAACCTGGATCATTGCACACTGTTAGATAATTAGATGGAAAGTTAATAAAATTTGGCACATTTTGGAGATGCTGGTGACTCCAAAATCTAAAAGTCCCATAGCTGTAGAACAGTTTACTCAGGGTCTGAAACCTTCTGCAGTTGTTGACATAATGCAGAATAAATGTAAAACAACGACACATGCATATTTTCAGGCATGTCTCTGTTACTGCTATTCAAAAAGACCTATCGTTTTAGAGAAGAAAAAAACAAATATGACTCGTGTTTTAAATGCTGCAGGTTGGGCTGTGCTTTAGTCACAGTATTTTCATTTATTTCTTTTAGAAACTAGAAGGTTTTAGAAGTGGGGAGGTTAGGAAGTCCCGGCTGCTGGGCCGCTGACTAGACCAGACATCAGCAGAGAGCCATGAGCCGCCCATCCTCAGCCAGAGGAGGGGGGCTGGTAAGGCAGGCGGGGGGAACCACGGGGGGGGTTTAGTCCCTCCGTCCCCCGCTGGCTCCCTCCTCCCGTCCACCAGGGTTCCCAGACCAGCCCCGGAGATGACTGCTCGGTTCGAGTGCCCGGTGTGTTTCATCTACATGCAGGACTGTAGTTGACATAAATCCCACAAGATTTTGAAATTCGCCCCCGGACATTTTTTTAGGTGTGAAAAGTAGGACATGTCCGGGAAAAAGAGGACG